GCTGGCAGTGATGGACCATCAGAAAGGAGGGGTTCTTATAAAAACGGTAACGGGGGGGAGATTCTTTTTTGATGCCCTTTGTCCATGGTTTTATTGCTAGGTCGTATGTGAGGTCTGTCCCCTCTGTAGGAGGGGCTGTGTCATTACAAGTAGTCAGAAGAACCCCTGGCAGAGAGGCCCCACTGTTTTTTGCCATTTCTTTTTTCTGCTGGAGTTTTTCTGGGGGACAGAGCTAATAAGCTGAGCTGACACTGGGTTTGAGTGTAGCTCCGTGTCATGGGCCTTGAGAAAGTAGCCTTGCTGATGTGGGTGTGATCTATAGCTGCACCAGCAAAGCTTCATTGCGTAAACCTAGCTTGGATCTCAGTGGTTGTGTCTGAAAGCCACTCTATTCTATGTACTGAAATTAAGGATTGATTGAATTGGTTAAGAATTAGGGTGTAAATGAACATAGTTAATACTTTGGCGAAGCTTAAAAAAAAAAATCATATGTGTATTAAAATCCTGCTGTTTTTTTTTCCTAGTAATGCTGTCATGGTTCAAATAGTTGTTGCTTCACTTCTCTATATAACAGAGATGCCTCATGCAAAGCAGATGTTTCCACACTTGTAAATTGTATAAACTTTCTCTTTCTTTCTCCTTTTTTCCCCTCTAAAAAAATTTGCCATTAATCAGTGCTGATTCCCAAGGAAAAACCACCCATCACAGTTGTTGGAGATGTAGGAGGAAGAATAGCTATCATCGTGGTAAGTAAGATGCCATAGCTTTTGATAAGTTACATTAAATATGTTAAAGTTTTTGAATGAATGTCAGTCGTCTTGGCCTTTCCCTCTTCCCCTCATGGGGCAATCCCTCTGCCACTTGATGTTGCAGTAGGTTTGGACGCTCTGCTTTTCCACTCTTCCACACTTACCATCTAGCTCAGGTGTCTGAAGAACAGCATCAATAAAAATGTCCATTTTGTGTTGGCTGTTACACTTGTTATACTTGGAAAAGATGTAATGTCAATCCGGGTGTGCTGTGTTGACCTGTCTGAGGACACGGTGAATCTCCACTGACTCGATCTTACTTTGACAGGATGACATCATAGATGACGTTGACAGCTTTCTTGCTGCAGCCGAGACTCTCAAGGAAAGGGGGGCTTACAAGATCTTTGTAATGGCCACACATGGCCTGTTATCTTCAGATGCTCCCAGGCTGATAGAGGAATCTGCCATCGATGAGGTAAGTGGGGATTCTGAATTTCTGATCAAATGATTTGGGGTTTTTTAAGCAAGGAATTTTCTCCTGTCTTGATTCTTAAAATATACTGGCATTAAGAATTTAGCTGGGAGGTTTCTGGGTTCAGGCTTTTTTACTGTGGAATTGTCTGTTGGAATATTAGCGTCTACGCATCCCTAAACTATAGCAATGGGAAATGAGGAGAGTAGTGAGATGACGCACTGCCGCTATTCACAGATTTCCCCCTCAGTCTGGGGGATATTTTCGTATCTTCCTTTGGGCGTGCGTGGCAGAATGACAGGGAGGAAGGACAGTGCCATTAGTACCTGCGGATATGTGCAATCCTATAGCAATGCATGGCTCTTCCTAAGGTTTTTGACCCTGACAGTATGTAAAATCTCGTTCTTGTATCATTAAGGGCCGCTCCATAGGATCTGGTGGGTGGACATTCCCTTTCACAGTTCCGATATGGGAGGTGGAAACCATAACGGAGCTATGTCTTTCTGATCATTTTTTCTTTCCGTAGGTGGTTGTTACAAACACAATTCCACACGAAATACAAAAACTCCAGTGCCCTAAAATCAAGACTGTGGATATCAGCATGATCCTCTCAGAAGCCATTCGCAGGATCCATAATGGGGAGTCCATGTCGTACCTTTTCAGAAATATAGGACTGGATGATTAAGGCTTTTTATCCTGAAGAAACACCCCGGGCCAAACTGGAAGCGAACAGATAACGAGCTGTGAAGCATCATGCTTACCTTAATACTTCTATTGAGCCACTTTTTGTTTTCTCTTGGTTTAAGTATCAAGGTAGAACAGTTTTTAAGAGCTATTTTTTTTCTTTGCAGGGTGTTTTTTTTTTTTGGGGGGGTGGGGGTGGGTGAGGAATAAACATTTTACAAAAAAACTCTTCTAGTTGCTTTTAGGTTAGTTGCACTATATACACGATGGAAGAAACCCACAAAACACTTGGGGCAAGAATTTGGCTTCTAAATTAAGCATTCCTTTTCCAAAGCTGCTTGCTACAAGTGCTTTAAAAGATAATAAAATGAAGTGACTGTATAATATTTGCATTTTAAAAGCCAAAAAGGTTGTACTGTTGTATGCAGTTAAGTGATTTTGTAGGAGTGCTTTTATAGAAAAGCATATGAAATATGCACCTGTATTTATTTTCTGCGACAAAGAATAAAAACTTGTTTTGTGTGAGCTTTCTAAAAATGTCCATGTACTAGTCACTTGTCTTCTAAAGTGTGTCCCCTTAAAAGTGATTTGCAGGTATTACGTTACTGAAAGAAATCCAGAGGTGAATTGATTCTTCTGTGCTAATAATGTTACTTTGGAATATGAACAGCACTCAGCATTCTTGGCAGTAAGGGGGGTAACATGCGTTTTGCTTGTTGTTACAGCGAAACACCTGCAGATGGGGAGGAGAGGCTGCTTTTCCCCAATACTGATACTTATTGTTGTTTTTCAGCCTGTCAGCTGCTGAACGGTCTTGTAAAATGCGGAATAAAACCTTTCACCGTCTGCTTGTAGGTGCTATCACAAAGGTTTTTGTGATACCGGTTGTAATTTGGCTGTGTGCAGCTCTGCTTCAGGGAACGTGGGAGGGAGATGAATCTACGGCTGGATGGCAGGGAACAAGAGGGACTTGGGAGAACTTGGGAATATTGGAGAGGGCAGAGGTCTCAGCTGGCAGAATCTGAATCAGCTCATCACAGGTAAACTTTTTTTCAGAGGTTTGTAGCCTGGCCTGAAAGCGTGGATCGGCCTAAAAATGTGACCATAGCGCAGAACTTAACTTGTTCAGGTTTGTTTTCCCAACCTTCCTTAGGTACGTGTGGGTGGAGCGATCAGCTAGCTGCCGCGCCGAGCTGCCAGTCTCACAGATGCAAAGTTCTTGACCTGTTACAGAGAAAATGGTGGTGGAATTAATGAGCATTTAAGGGGTTGTTTGGTCTAACCTGTCTCCAGGAAAATGTCCTACAAATGAGTATAAAACTTTTGGCATATTCAAAACCAGAAGTGAAAATTAACCTTTGTTGACACCGTTTCTCTCTACTTGAGACAAACTTCCAAGGGCTTTGGAAGGTTCATTTGCTTTTAAGGATAAAAAGAGGTTTTTTTCCTTCCCTTGTCTGTCTGGGCACGATGGAGGCCTGGACTGTGGCTAGAAGACCTAGATATTGCTTGGAGTTCTACAGTACTTGACCTTGTTGGTACGTTCATCAAGTGAGGTGGTGATTGTATTTAAGCAACTGCACATTTCTGTTCGGATAATGTTACTCTTCATTCTGTGAGCTTATTTTTCGTAAGATTATTCTGTTTGATTTTTGCAGTCCTGTCCGGAGAGGTACTTTCTGTCTCTGTGAAATGACAAAATGCGAGGCTGTGTCTGGTTATACTTTAATGACAGCAAGTTATTAAACAGTTCAGCGATGTTAATAGATACACCAAGCTGACGTATTAACACTTGTACGTACTTCGAATGTGTTAATGCAGGTAAAATTCCAGCTGAGCAGTGAGGGGGAACTTCAGTTCCTCTCCCAAGTGTGCAGACCTGCTCCTGGGTGCGTCAGCGGCTATTTCAAAGCGAGGAGGAATATGCTGACCTGTCTGGGTGATGGGCACATTAATTGCAGTGTCTTTATTTTGTTAGTGAGACCTTATGATACGTGGTTGGAAAGCGTGCTGCTGCTTGAAAATGAGCCAGCCAAGCATCCAGTGCAGCAAACGGTATCATTACTAAATACCCAAAACCACTGAATTCAAAGGCTGTTTTCCTGCTGCTTGTTTCGTGTTGGCCTTTGGAGGAAATAACTTCATCTCTTCTGTGAGCGTTTCTGCTCGTCGGCCCTCACTGGTGTGCTGAGGATCCACCTCGGATGGTCACCTAACTCCTGTGTTTGACCCTTGCTTTAGCATGTAGAAAACCTCCAATTTTGCCTGGTTTGTGCAGTGCAATTACTGTAGTGATTAGGACTCAAGAATTTGGGAACAGTCGCGGTCGTAAGACTGATCTGGTTCTTTGGCGTCTTTTTTTTTTGAGTGGTTGAAAGAGAGCAAAGCACGTGCAACTTCCCTTGGACATTTTTCATGTCCCTTTCATTCCAGCAGGGCTACCTGATCTCTACGTGCTTTTCCCAGAAGCAAACCCAGCAGATGGTCAGAAATGCCAGCTATTCTTAGAGGTGTTACTTTGGGATCCTTCAAATGTAAAGAACACTTTAAAGCCCCTGCTTTATTCAGCACTTCCTACAGTAATTAACTAGGCAGAAGATCACGCAAATTCTTTCCAGACTTGTAGTATCTGCAAGAAAAATACTGGGGTTTGGTTTACAGCTTAGAGAAGACAAAAGCCTTGGTGGCTTCTAGATTTGAGGCGCCTCTGCAAGAGGCTGTTGGGATCCTGCACCGGGAGAGCCTGTGCCGCAGAAATGCATTAATTGCAGGAGCAGTTGGGACTGGAGCCTGCAGCTTCTTCAAGATCAAGGCAGAAGCAGCAGCAAACCCCGAGGAGATGGGCGTTAAGTAGCTGCTCCTTTGTGACACCGAAATCAAAGGCGCTGCCCTGGCCCCTGCATCCCTGGGGTGCCAGCCAGGAGGGCAGCGGGGAAATGGGAAGGGGAGGGCGGCAGCGGCCGGCCGGGCTGCCCACCCAAAGGCCTTTGGAAGCCGAGCTCCTGCTGCCGGCTTGTTTAATGATAAATGCCCTCAAGCTGCTAACGAGTTACTGATTCAGTGGCTGGCTGTGAGAGGCTTTCGCCAAGGATGAAGGCGGCGGCAGAGGAACGATGGAGGCCAATTCCACCGCGGGATCCTTTACTCCCGCACAACAGTTCAGTGTTGCTGATCTTGTTGTCGTAGTGGTTTATTTTTCCTTAAACGTTGCAGTGGGAATATGGGTAAGAGTATTTTGTCTTGTTCCCTTTCTGCTTTCCTTTTGGAATAGTCTTTTTTATTTTATTTTTTTTTTTTAATTTGGGGTTGGCTTTTTCTGCGTGGAATATTTGGAAACCCTCTGTTATTTTCTTCTTGTCGTTTGCACTCGTTTTGTATTTTGTGGGTTGCGCTGCGTTTGCTCTCTTCTGTTGTACAAACCCTCTGTCTGTCCCTTTCACCCTCTGTGAAAAAACTCCGGTAGCCTGAGAACGAGGTGGAACGAACCGCGCCACAAACCTCTCCCCCGGCCACCCGTCTGCCAGGCAGATCTGCCGCTTGGCTATTAAAGGGCGTTGAGACAAATGCTCTGCTCAACAGAGAAAGCCCTCAGCTACCTGCGGTGTCAGACAAAGGCTCTCCAAAGCTGTTTAATCTGCCTTGCAGAAAAAAAAAATCATAGCCAAAACTGGACCCTATTAGCCACCCTGTCTCCTCGGGATGGCGCTGGGGCAGGCGCATCCTCCGTGCTTCCCCCTCTCGGGGTGGCTCCTTTGCTATTCATGGCTCCCAGGTACTTGGGGGAGCAGCCACCCTTTGCTGTAATTAAGCTCGAGTTGCAGAGCTCCCATTAATTATCCAGAGTCTCCTGGCTCTTGGCTTCTCATCTAGGAGACCTGGTTCTTGGTTTCTTGGTGTCTTGTCTGGGTTTGTAGGGGAAGGGGGCTCTGTGCTGCTCTTTTCTTCTCCCAGTCTTCATGCAGGGTGAACAGGAACACCGTCAGTGGCTATTTCCTTGCTGGCAGAGACATGGCGTGGTGGCCAGTAAGTAGAGACCTCTGTCCTTCTTGTGACACCCTGGGCAGCGGGGACATCCACCGCCGCTGTCCCTTCCACTGAATTCCCTCTTCTGCGCCCCTGCTTTCTCCATCGCCTGCCCATGCTGTCCCCCACCCTCCACACCTCCTTCTACAGGATTTGTGTCCTCGGAGCTGCGTTTCCCTTCTCATTGCATGAAGGATGCTGGAGCCCACCTGGGTTGTTGGGTCTCCTTGTAGGCTGCTCTGAACTTGGGGAGGGGTTCTTGGAGTCAAACGTCTGTCTCCACCGGCCCCATGTGCTCCTGGTGACTCCAACAAGACATGGGTGTCCCAAGTTTCTTTTTCCTCTCCTCTTATAGCGGTATGATCCTGACAAACTGGTTGTAGGTCCTTCCTATGGACACAGGGCCACCTCCGGGCAGGGTGCATGGCCACCATGGCAAATGCAGCAATGTGTGGCTCCTTCTCATCCTCCTGAAGACAAGAGAGTCCATCCAAAACCCACCGGGGATGCCCAGATGAGCTGAACGTGCAGGAGCACAGGTTGCTGAGGCTCCCGATTGGAGTCTCTTACGGGTTTTTCTTGCAAAATATGTACACGTCCCTCATCACACACAGCGTATCTTTGGCCACGCTTTGCTTTTAGCGCAGACCTCCCCACCGCTTCTCTGCTCCCGTTCAGATGTTATTTTTGCTGCCTCCCCTCGCTGAGTTATCCCCTCGGGGCTGGGCTGCTGGGGAAGCACCAGCGCTGGTCCAGTTGGCGTGACTGCCGTGCCAAGCTGCGGGGAGCCGGTGCCCGGGCACCCACAGCACCTCCTCTGCTCCTCCGCAGATCGGCGCCTCTCTCTTCGCCAGCAGTGAAGGCTCGGGGCTCTTCATCGGGCTGGCCGGGACCGGTGCTGCCGGGGGAATCGCTGTCACTGGCTTCGAGTGGAACGTAAGAAACGTGTTGTGTCATTAAGAAAATGAGTTTCTAGAGCCGTGTCACAGCAGATGGCCCATTTCACAGCAGCTTCGCACAATGTCTTGAAAGGAGTTGTGCAGGGGGTAATTAACGCAACCCTGCTAAGTCAGCGTCTCCAGCTCATGTCTAGTGCACGTACAGCGAGTTTGGAGTCAACTCAGGTCCATGTGCTCGGGCAAAAAGGACATTGCAGTGCAGAGCTTCCTAGTCCAGCTGAATAGGTCACCCATTCCCTGCTTCCACACCCATCGCTTCCAAAGTCCTTGGGTTCTGCAGCAAAAATATGGCATTTGGCTTGCTTGGTGCTCAAGGAGATAGTGGGAAATGTCTGGTCAGGGGCTAAAGAGGAGTGGTCTCCTGCTGGTGGGGCTGCCGGGGGGTCTCCACCGTGACCTCATGCAACCGTGCCTGCTGTCTGAAGCCATTTGGGGGTGTAAATGTGTACTTGAGGGTGAGCTGGGGCTGGGTCAGGAGTGGTGGAGTGGGTCTGGCATTGCAACTCATGTCGAGCTGCAGCAGGATCAGTGTTTTTTCTGGCTGCGCCATATTCCTCCTTCCCAACAGGCGACCTACGCTCTTCTGGCGCTGGCCTGGGTGTTTGTGCCAGTCTACATCTCATCTGGGGTACGTAGCCCTGAGCCTGCTGTGAGGAGTGTGGTCCCGGCCAGGTTCCCTGTTCCCTGCAGAGCTGTCACCATTGTCCTTTGGGACTCCTAGTCCCTGCTCTGGGAATACAGCTGTCCCCTTGCCTTTCCTGGGACCGTACCCGGAGGAGGGGGCCTGGACAGGGCAGTCATCACTCTCTTTCGCTCCAGCAGATTGTCACGATGCCCGAGTATCTCCAGCGAAGGTTTGGAGGGGAGAGGATCCGGATGTACCTCTCTGGCCTGTCGCTCCTGCTCTCCATCTTCACCAAAATCTCTGTGAGTAGCTTCTGCTCAACTCCGTGACAGATCCATGACTGATTCCCAGCAAGTGAAATGTTATTTTGGGGCTCAAACCTCATGTAGCCAAGTTGGGGGAGAGCAGCTGCTGCAGGATGCTCCAGGAGGGAGCAGGACAGGAGGTGGGAATTCGTGGGCAGATGCCATCTGCAATAACCCGTGCGTTTGTAGGTAGATCCAGCAGCGATGTTCATGTCTGGGTGGCCCTGATGGATGCATGGCTGGGTGTCAGGATTCCCAAACTCATGGCGCGCTTGCTTTGTTGTGGATGAAATGTGCTTGGGGGCTGGGTTGCATCGTCTGGGTTTTTCCTCCGTGCTCCGGCAGTGATGCTTTCCAGCATTCCCCGAGGGACCTGGCAGAGCCGGGAACTGAATTGGAAATGCATTTGTTGCTTTAGGGCACACGGGTCTGCTGAGGAAAAGAAGTCTTGCTGCACCCATAAGATGCCCAAACCTGTACAGAAAGTGCCTGACTTTTAGGGACTTTTCCACAGGGATGTTTTTCCCCCATTTTGGCCTCGTTCACAGTTCCCTGTGAGCAGCCCCTGCTCCCGCTGCCCGCTTGGTAACCGTGGGGAAGAGTTTATCTGAGGTAAAACAGCTAAAGAGCCTGTGACACCAGGCAAGCAGGAGAGAGCCCGGACACAGACAGCCCCGGGGGGCTGGAGACAGGGAGACAGAGATCAAGAGCAAACAGCTCAGAAACAGATCTGGAGGAGAAAACACACCGGAGGGAGCAATCCTGCACGGCTCCGATGGAGCAGGCGGATCTCACCCGGGGTCTGCTTGGGCTTCTGCATTAAATATGCTTTTGCGTGTGTCTGGCTGCAAGGAGAGGCTGTCTGTAGGGCAGGAGGGCCGGTGCCGGAGCGTTTCCCCACGGCGAGGCGCTCAGTGCCTGCCTCTGCGCTCGCCAGCTCCCTGCTTGGCAAACACCAGCTTGGCTGGAAGCAGCATCGCTCCCTGTGCGGAGTTTCTGCCTCCTCCCCGGCACCTTCGCAGCCCCAGGCCCCGGGCTGAGCTGTGGGGGGGACCCTCTGGGTCTCCCTCTGAGGGATGCGGAGGATGGAGCAGCCTACAAACAGCTCCCGCTGCGTACATCCTTCAGCACTTTGTGCAAAGGGCTCAGACAGACCCCAGCGCTGCGTGATATGGTGTCCCCAGCTCCAGAAGACTCCGTCTGCTTCTCGTGAGCTGCTTTTTAACCTTGGGCAATCACAGAATTTTCAGAGTTGGAAGGGACCTCTAGAGATCATCTAGTCCAACTCCCCTGCTAAAGCAGGATTGCCCAGAGCACATTACTCAGGAAGGCACTACGCTTTGGGCTTAAAAAGGCAGGTTGCAGGAGATGGCAGCCCGTCCCACGTTCCTGCTGTTGCAGGGTTTTCAGTGTGGCAGAGGTGATGCCGGTGAGCCCATCGGTGCAGCTGCCACCTGTATTTCACCCCCACAAAACCATGTCCTGTTGAGCTGGAGGGCATTCTGCCCTTAAAACTGATATTCTTCATACTCTGGCCATTTACGGTGTTGAAAATCCTATGGCATTTCTCCTGAAATCAGCCTGGTGAGTCCCGGAGCACCAGTTCGGTTTGCAAGTTTGGGCAGTGACACTTTGATTGTTCCCTGATTGTCTTAATGTCCAGTAAACTGTTGTCATTTATTCCCACTTATTATTGCTGCTCAAGAGACATCTTTCTCCTGCTCCCGATGAAGACCTGGGAGGAGCTCGAGGGAGATGCGGGACCAGTGTCTGTGGTGCCGGTCCCTGGGATCTGCGTGAATCCCTGCTGGTGTTTAAAAGGAAAGGTTGGAAGCTGGGATGGGATTTCTGGTGGGGTAGTTTATTTTTGCTGGTCTGAATCTGAAGAAAGAAATCACCAGTAGTTTGAGGGCTGGTTGTCTTTGACTCTCTTTCCAGTCTATGACAGACATCGCCTCTTCTCTTACAAAACAGTGCCCATGTGCTTGGTCCCTTTGGTTTCCAGTCTCTCCATGGCTTTTCCCAGAAGGGATGGATGCCCTACAAGTTCATTCTTAGCTTGGGAGACCATTGTGGTGTCACCCCTTGCCTAACGCCAGACGAACCTGTAGATGACCTCTGCACAGTGCCTGCACCCATGGGAACCTCTGCGGTTCTCCTGGCCCTTCTCAGCACAACCTTGTGTTTGGAGCTTGGTGGACACTCCCAAATGCCTTTTCCTGTGCCTTTTCTCAGCCACTGCTATAGTTTCTTTGGTCTGCTGAGTTTTCTCTGATCTCTGAGTCATGCAGGATGCAGCAGAAGAAGAATCAGCCTAATAAGGGGATTATCTTGGCATCTGGCTCCATTCATGGTAAATCTCACAAACAATGGTTGTTTCCAGCAGTGGGTTGGGATGAATGTCTGCGGACATGTGGGGCGTTGCCAAACTGGCCTGATGTCCCGTCCCTGGTGGTGTCCACAGCTGGGAGCATGGGAGGAGGCTGCGAAACTCAGGGCAATTAGGCAGCGCTGTCGCCCGGCGGGGGTTTTCTATGGTCTTCGCTGGGGGCTGCCTCAAAGCCTGGGATGAACTGGGCTTTTCCTGCCTCCTCTCCCTGCAGACGCTGGCTTTATGCATAGATCTCTGCTCCACGTTCTCCCGAGCTGAGACACGGCATCACTGCTGCTCCCTTGGCTCTTCTTTTGGGGCAGGGGGAATGACAGTCCTTCCTCGCCTGGAATTTACCCTTTGGTGGACCCCAACCCTCCACGTTTCATGGCAGGGTGCAGCAGGGCAGCCGTAATTACGGCGGAGAGATGGCGTCCCCCTTGTCTAGGAACACAGGGGAAGTTGCACAGGCGCCCTAGCCTTGGCGAAGAGCCCCTGGAGACTCCTCTGTACCCTGGGCAACTTGTTCTGCTGAGGCTTTGGCTTCACCAATTGTTAAATCCAAGCTGTCTCTAAAGCCAGCTTTCATTGGGAAGGCATTAACAATGTTGGGTAAGAACGAGTTTCCAAGTGAGGTCACCAGTGGAGGCAGGGATCTTGCTGGATTACGAGGCCTGACTTCAAAAGCTTCTCCTCTGCTTTTACAGTTGAAAGAACTTGTTTTATGAATAGGTCATGCCTGGTTTTAATTAGCTTGTTTTTGTATTTGGGATGTCTTATTAATGACCCAGTCACATGCGCTTTTCTTTTTTCCCACCCTAGCAGAATTAGCAGGAAGGGAGGTGGAGATACCTCTGCTTCCTCATAGCAAAGGCTTAGACTCATTTGCAGACGACTGCAAAAATGATTAAGCATTGAGAAAGCCAGGAGAAGCGGTTACGAAATACCTTGTCCAGGTCTGAGTCTACGCAACTGGGTTCTGGGGAAGGGTTGCTGGAGCAGAAGGCAGTCACGGGGGCGGAATGACTTTCTGGCAGGTGCTGACGTGGCAAGTGATGGATCCCTCCGAGGGACGCTGGGAGCTCCAGAAGGCACCAAAGATGCTTGACTGGCACTGTGCTGGGGAGGCTCAAAATATTTTGGGCTGCCACTTCAGGTTGCGTTGGGAGGAGACGGCCGAGGGCCCTTGGTTGGGGCTTTTCTGCCTTGTAGTTGAAGCTTGCAGCGCATGAATGGCTTAGCTGTCCTCTTGTAGGGCTGCTTGGTGGTCTCTGTGGCATCAGGCTGTGCTTGGATTGCATTTGTTGTGGAAAGGCATCAGAGGAGCCACTGGTAGAGGTTTTGGCATGGTTA